CCGCATTCAAGATGATCGCTCCTTGTGCCGTCGAGCCTTATAAGCTTGGCTCGAGCCTGCAACAACTACATGGACAACTGATGAACCACCTAAGCCTATAGGACGAGGCATTAGGGACACCCGGCATCTGAGAAGGTCCAGAGAAGTCCATCAGGAGGCCAGCTCCAAACGGATGCGATATAGGCCATGCGTCATCGATTGTTGGTTGTAAATTCTTCATTGGAACTTTGTCCGGCATGGATGAAACACACCTTTTTGAACAAAATCCCCAAAGACAGTGCCAAATGGTATCAAACAACCTTCAATCAGCTGAGATCGATTTGGTTATAAGCTTCCTCACCGGTTGGACACCTTGAGTCTGCAAAAACTCTTACACCGGAGGAATTTTTTGTTGAAGAGCATCCGATGCTCAATTGAGTATGAGCAGAAGATGAACTCTAGAAAATATAAAGTAAAATGGACGTAATAATTGAAATTGCACATTTCACCCCTATATATAGGGTGAGGTACCTTCTTCTAGAAGGGTGCCCGAATATGGTGAGCTGGCTGCCCAAGCTGCCCGATCGTACAACTTACTCTGTATAGTGTGTCAGAGACAATTATGAGGCGTGGACCAATCAATAGTGCAACATGGTTTTGCCCATGTGGGGTTTAATTCCTCTAAGATTTTTTCATATCCCTTAGTCTTTCGTATTAGAATACTTAATTCCATGGTTCACTCGAGGTCTGCCCATGTAGAATATTGACTGTCATGGACCAAGTATCATTATTTTTGGTCGATCTCTCAACCAGTCATACCTACAGGTCGAGCTTCTATCAGGCCATTCGAGGACCCTAGCTCGTCCTATTGCCCTAGACCCTTTACGTCGTCTCTCATATCGAAAGCTCTTTATCCTGAGTCGAATGTTCAACCACCATCAGTCCTACTATAACTCGGCTCGATCAGGGGGCTCGCTCGGTCTAATCGATCGATTTATCTCTTAGGTACGATATCTTATATCAGTATGTATTTGCTTGTGTGTGAAGCGGATGTCTATACTAAGCTTCAGACCCTTCCTTTTGTAGAAGGGAAGTCCCCTAAAATATTTTTTCTTCATGATGCGTGACGAAATCTAATTGGATGCATGGTTACATATCTTCGAAAACTTGATCAAGTTGCTTATCCCCTAGGACGGTGGGAATGGGTTCAGGTAGGCAACCCTTTTCACACTGGCTCAAGATCGACCTCAGATGAGATGGTATTGACTGGACGATGACCTTCCTTTTAGGAGTGATTGACATGTTTAACTCGTAGCAGGGAATGAGGTCGCCTGGGTTGTGGAATAAATGTCTTTCTTCTTGATTGTAATACTTCCCGGAATTCGAACTCTGGAATGATTTTTAGGTTTGGGTTGAAGATGATGTCATAATATTTGATGGGTCTTTGTTTTAGGACAAACAAAATTGAGTATCAACACGAGTAACATGGTTGTGCTAAAGATAAAAGTTAGAAAGTATGATTTAAAAGGTTTGGAGTTTAGATAAACATGGGCGACTCAATTATTTCACTTCATATGTAAGTATTTTGTGAAGCTTTTAACATATGTGAATGTTATGATTATGTAATGACAATCTTAAGGTGTATTCGTTTGAGACTTATATTTTTGTTTTTAAGATTTTAGAAATTCTTGTATATGTTACAAAGATTTTGTAAAATTTTAAAATTCTATAGTATTCATTTGAGATTTTAAAGTCTTACAAAATTATGAAGTGTTTAACTTATATGAGACTTTGATTTTTAGGACTTTTTAAAATTTGCTAAAATTTACAAGAAAACCATATACAAACCGTCGTCCCTTCTACTGACCGAACCCTCAGTTCGGAGGTCTTCGTCAACATGTTACGAAGGTTTCCAGTTCGAACGGTAGCACTCAATCCATAGGCTGGTAGAACTCGTGAATAGTTGGGATCTGAGTGAAAGGAGACTCCCTATTAGTGCAGGTTACCCTATCTAATGAGAAAAGGAAATCTCTCCAAACATAATATTTCACAAGATTCTTAATAAGTATAAAGTTATTAAATAAAAATTAAAGTTAAAAAAAATAAAAATTAGTACTCAAAATTCCAAACAAATACACCCTCTTATTTTCAAAGTATATTGTTGAATGAGGTAGCCCATCCCATCAATAATTATACAAACAATAGATGGAATTTTGGGAGAAATAGCATAATGTGGAAAAAGAAACTAAAAATTGAAGAACAGTTCAATAAACGACCAACAAAAGTGAAAGTGATGCAGAATAGTTATTGATATTATTATTATTATTATTATTATTATTATTATTATTAGTAAGCTTGGAGAATAAGCTAGGTTTAGTTTAAAAGTCTTATTTAAATGGCTCTTGTGCTTTGTTATTAGGGGAATTGATTTGATTGAAAAAATATATTGTTGACTTTTACGTGTTTTACGAGAGAGTATCTCGTTACTCGTTTATCATTCCCACTCATACGCTTTCTCTACATCAGTTGGTATCAGCTGTCAGTATGATTCGCGATGTTGCCGAAGACAAGATGCCGCAAAAAAACAACGTGATGCAACCTTCAACGGTCGATTTCAACAGATTGACTACCGATTTCAAGAGTTGGACGTGCGTTTCACAGATTGGTTTACCGATCTTTCGACGGAGATCGAGAATTTGCATTTGATGCTTAACAACGTGGTTGTTTCGGAATTGCAAACAAACCGCGATGGAGCTGTGGGCTGTGGCTTTCGCTGGGGAGACAGAGGCGGTTGTGGGGGACGCAACCATGTCGGGGTGCCCCGGCAGAGGTCCCCGTCACCTCTGAATGGCTTCGTGGCGGCGACGATCAACTCGACGACAGAGGCAAGCCCGAAGAGGCTGCCATCATCGGCGGTATCGTACCCGACACGATTGGAAATTTGATCGCTAATATGGTCAATGGGAGGGCCCGTTTCGTGTTGACATCCCCGAATTCGACAGTGAGCAAGTTGATGGGCCATTGTGCGATGGTCCACCCATTTTTTATGAGGAGCCGCCAGTGACAGAGACATATATTGGAGATATGAGTCCAGCGTGGAACGTCGCATAAGTTGCACCTTCGAATAGACAACCGTCGGTTGGACCCAATTTTCAGAGTATCTTGGCTATGGATGGTTTTTCGGAGCCGAAGTCGAGGCTCAATAACTGTGGGCCATATTCCAATTGTCTATCGCGAAGTCTCCAAACAACGAGATGCTTGACTGTAGTTATGGATTTGAGCACAGTGAACGATGTGGTATGTTTGGTGTTAGTTCCGCTGTGTGGGTTATGTGTAGAGTGGCGTGTACATGTACCTTTGCAGCAGTACAACACTTATTCAAGCTTATGTTTTCCATCGAGGTTGTTGGGCAACCTTCATCTTTCGTGTTCGATAGGGGGAAACGTTGGGCTACTCCTGTCATGGGGACGTCTCCAACGGGAACATATCAGATTCGAGGGCGAATCCTGCTCAACCGGGGGAGAATGATGCAGAATTATTATTATTATTATTATTATTATTATTATTATTATTATTATTATTATTATTATTAGTTAGCTTGGAGAATAAACTAGGGTTTAGTTTAAGAATTTTATTTAAATGGCTCTTGTGCTTTGTTATTAGGGGAATTGATTTGATTGAAAAAAAGATATTATTGAGTTTTATGTGTTTTACGAGAGAGTATCTCGTTACTCGTATATCATTTCCACTCATACGCTTCCCTACATCAGAAAGTCAACACTTTAACACCAAGTTCAACAAACAACGAGCGAAAGTTAATACTTTAAACACATTTTTTGATTAGGAGCTTAAAAACATTGATGGAGACGACAGTGTCTCGTATTTCATATCGTTCTAAATAAAATAGTAGACACATGTTTTTAAACCTGGCCGCTAATTGACTCGGACAGGTTACCGGGTCACCGTTTAATTATCAGGTTACCGAGTCAATTGCTGAATCGGATAATTAATTTTAAAATTTTTAAAATTATATAGAGTATTTTTGTCATATAAATATATACATAAAAGTAACAAACTTAAATGTTTTGTGTATAAGATATGTACATTAAAATGTTAATAATATGTATTTATGATAAATATTTAACATATAAACATATACACATAATTTTATTTTTATAAAACAAAAAAAAAAAAAAAAAAATATGGGCCAGGTCAATCGAGTTGACCCCGCCGGGTCAATGCCTAAGGTTTGTTGGGTCAAAGCCGGGATGGTCGGATTTTGACCCAGTTTGACCAGGCCCTTTGTTGTCTGGGCCAATAGCCCACTTGGACCGGTTTTGGCTCCGGGTCGACCTGTTGGGCCAGTCTGGGTCAATAAACTATGAGTAGACAACTACATAGATATGATTTACATCCCTTAATTATAAAACTGTTAATCCTTATTTGATATTGTTCCACAATTCTAACTTAATTTCTTTATGTTTTTTCGTGTTATTCAAGAAAAAAAAAAAGAATTTAAATGAGAAGTTTACATATTTATTAACTTGTTATTGTTATTTATTTCCTTTTGTTATTGAAAAATTCGTTATAATAATAAAAATAATAAATAATAATAATAATCTGACGGTCCATACCGCGAGTCAGTCCCCTAATCGAACGGCCGTGAGGGCTTGCGCGTCATCTGATTCAGAGGGATTCCCATGAAAACCTGAAAATCCTATTGTTGAGCCTCCACACAACACAACACAGTTACATAATACTTTTCCATTCTCTCTCAGATTCGCTCCAACACATACAACAACACAACAACTGCCTCTCCCTATCTTCTAATCTCATCCTTTCAACATAACCATTGATTTGATCCTTCCAATTAATATGCAGACCGATAGCGGCAATTCAGAGCCCCAACAGAGTACTTCCTCCACGGAGAACGGCGGCAACGCCAACAATGGCGGCGGAAACAACCACGTTTCTCCGCCGCCGC